GACTTTGAACATTAAGTCCTAAAGGGGAACCCGTGAAGCCGATATTTTGGTTTTTGAGAAGAAAACTTTATTCCCCCCCCCTCCCCCCTCCCTAGCACATTTACTTTAACTGTTTATTTTTTGCATGGTAAGAAGCTGCACTTGACTAGGCTTCGAACAAGTTGGTCAAAATATCTTGGGGAGTATTAGACTAGCAGTGTTAAATCCTCGCTCGGCCCAATGAAGCACAGCAACACCATACAGTGACCATTGGGAAATACAGGCCACTGCTCGGATGGAAGCTATGGCAACATCTTCACGGATGGTATCATCAGGTACCCATGATGGGGTAGCCTTTGCGGTACATTACGGTAACAGGTGATCTTACCTAATATTCACTTTTCAGGCTTCAGCCCCGTACATAATCGACAATAATCGACTTACATTTAAACTCTTTATAATTCCTAGCTGCTTTTGGTTGCAGTGAAAGCACAATATGATTATGTTGACAAACTACTGTACCCAGGTCTATGTCAGCCACATGTCATCTTGCCACCTGTGACAACCTGTGGTGAACGGAACTCTGGACATACAGTCGATTCAAAAAATGTTGTCGTCGACCGGCTCAAGCCTAGGCGACTAGATAGAAAGTGATATGGGAAAAATCACTGAAGTGGTTAAATATTCTTTCTGAATTAATTGTTCTCGCTAGTAGTAAAGATAAAAATGGCGAGCAATATCCGATCAAATGCATGGCTTCGGGTTTGACCAAAGAAAAACTAAGTAGTTTTGATTAGTTCACAATATTTCGAAAATGTGAAGGCATTAAAAAAAAAAAAAAAACGTTTCTTTCAACATTTCCCCGCTCGAGCTCGTCCTGTAAACCATAATTAGTCAGATAAAACTATGCAGTCAATCGCTTAGTGATTCATAGTTAGCGTGATAACTTAATGTATAGTTCCTGCTGACAATAAAATGTAGATGTAGATTTCTACCCAGATTACCGTTTTGGTCCAGTAGCGTAGGCTTGTCGAAGACAACGTTTTTTACTGACTGTATATCCGAGTAGATCAGTCGACTATGACATTATTTCAAGAAATTAAATAATTTTATTTGTTGCAATAAATACCAAAGATAGATACGACGTCTAAAAACTCATTATCTGTACAAATGTACAATTCATAGTATTTACATTTTACTCATAAATTATAGTATTAATTGCACTAAAATCCATGTTTCATACAATGGATATTATCGAAGGGCCTGCTTGATATGATGAATAAATAGCAYATCATTGATCAAGTGATATTGGTTGTTTGATTTGGTAACATGATGGTTTTAAAACTGTTTTCGTGAACGTACTAAAGAGATTGCTAGGTTTTCTTCTAGTTATTTTCCTTTACTTATAGGAACTAACCAATTTAAGTCTCATGAATTATCGAACTATTCATTTAATTTCGATTGAGTTGATTTAGTTCTTCTCAGTGATTTGCCCAAGCTCCTATTCAACCATGACGTTTTCCTTTTGATTTTAGGTGACTCATTGTTGTTATCAGCTGCCTCGCGTTTTTTTCGCTGAATTTCATCTAATATCATGTGGAAAGGTTCATGAATTGCCCAGTTCAACTTAGCAGAAGTGAGTGTCCACATATACTTCCATCTCTTGAGCACAACATCTCGTGTATTTAATACACAACCATTTTTATCAGTTATTTCCAGTGAGCTACTGTCTATAGCAAGATCGGATTTATTTGCAACCACAACAACGGGAATATCAAAGCCTCTTTCTTCAATGATTTCGTCTCTGTACATAGAAAGTTGTTCAAAAGACATTTTATTGTCCACAGAGTACACGAGTATTATGGCATCTGCCTTGGCGATGTCTACTCGTCTCATAGCAGGAAAATTCTCTGATCCGCAAGTGTCAATCATGTCTAACTGATATGTTCTGTCATTATAAAAGAAGTGTTTGGAGAAGAAATCTTCCACAGTTGGTTCGTATTCGTCGCAATAATCTTCTGGTTCACAGAATCTCCTGATGATCGATGACTTGCCGACTTTAGCAGCCCCGAATACTGCCACTGTTAATACCTTGAGATACGTGGACCTTCTTTCTTCCTTACGATTAGCTGGGGGTTTCTTGTTGTCTTTCTGTTGTTTTTTCATCTCGTATCGATGTGATATCCACTATAAACCTATAAATGATGGAGTGCTTACCACGAGAACGCTTCACTCTTGTTAATAGGACTTACTGACAGTGTTTGCTTGCTGTTTTCTCACAAGATAATAACAACTGAATCTCGATATATTGTTCTTATATAGAACTACGTCAGGATAGCGTGGGCTGCAGTTATGTCAACAATTCAACCGAGTAATTATGTACACATTCTAGAGGCATGGGATGGTCGTCTATCAACAACAGACCACATGAAACTCAACATGATATCTCATAACAGCACAGCAATCCTAATGACACTTGTTTTACCAGGGATAAATATATCTCCAAGTATTCCATGATAACTACAGTTGACAGTTGATATATACTATATTAGGGTATACTAGTGAATACCACCTAGGGTCATATTAATTGCCTGATTAACAGAATTGCACTTCGAATCCCTAAAATTAGATGCAGACAACGAAGAGTCTGACAATCCTGTCTTTATTTCCAGTTAATACGAGGTACATTTTTCAAAATCCCTCGCGAAACATAAGAAATTCGCAATGTAGGGCAGATATTTCCTTTCGGAAACCTCTCGGGCACTCCTCGGTTTTGAAGCGTGGTAGTTCGTTATACCGACGTAATGGCGATGTCTTTACGAATAGCAGTTTAGTGAGTGGGAAACGCCAAACATTCTATTGAAACCTTGCCGAGTCCTTGCCGAAAAGACATGGCGTAATCGTGGTGTAAATGCGCCGTATGTCAAGGGGAAATGGTGGTTTGTATTTATAGTGAATAACTGTGATGTGATATCAGGGCATGGAATGTCAGGTATGAAGTCTTGGAATACCAAGCATTCGTGACCCCAACCCCTTTACTGAAGATGGTAATTTAATCAAGTAGAAGAACTGTTTTTCTTTTCACTAATCACAACAAGCCCAGCTTCGTCCTTCAGTATATATATATATATATATATATATATATATATATCACTAATATAGTCACAACACGCCGTCTGGTAGTGAATGCCTTACAAATCGTTCCACGTCTACCCTGTGACCTGTACGTACCACGTCAGACAAGGCAAAAAGACGTAGAGAAAGTGTTACGACATATGTACCCCACACCACATCAAACCACAAGAAAACTATGTCACGTAGCAAGGGTAGGGGGGGCTAGTTGAGTTTCTTCCCGGTCAACACAACGGAAAACAATAGAAAAAAGCATCTAATTCTTCCGTTTTGTTGTAATTTTTTCCGCTAAAGAGCCACCTTTTGCCCCCCCCCCCCCTGGATCCGCCCTTGTGTAGTGGAAAGTTAGATAGGTCTGACTGCGTCACTTAGGACAGTATAGATGATAGAATGAATTATATGTATCACCTGTGCGCCCACGACTTTTATATATGCATTTTATGATTACGTCAAGGAACCGATTATTATAGACTATTTGAAGCCAGGTTGGACGGACGGCAAGACCGCACCCCCAACTAAACCACAACCTGAGGCAATAGACATGACTATAATTTACATACGAGGAAATGTGTTAAATACTAGTGCCGCAACAAATATTCAGATTTGGTAAGTTAAGCATCTCGTTTAATGAAACGTCAGTTGACATACACTAAGTTCTTTAGAATAAGTGAATATAAGTGAACACTGGTTTTAGCGCGAAGAGAACATTTCTTTTTGGTGACAAGGTTTGCACAAGGTAAAGTGAAATCACAGGCAGCAAACGATATATGAAAGCGTGGTCATGTTCAGTGGCCGTTTGCAGGAAGGAAAAAACGGTAATATCTTAATCTATCTATTGATACAACGGCCAAAATGGACAGGACAGACGGACGGACGGAATTAAAGAATTTCCCCAATTAATCACACAAAGACAAAAGAACATTATATTTACACTGCCAGGAAACGTGTTAAAACTGCGTCAATGAAACGAACTCTTTCAAGTTATTCTAGACTAACACGGCCATGAAGGCACGTCTGTAAAAAACACACCGCATAATGGATAACAGTATTAGTCTAAACGTCACGTAGAAAGGTTTGTAATGATGACTGATCTGAAAGATGCTGATTATCCTGAGCGCCACGCGTTACTGGAACGCTATTTTGATGGTTATTATTAGGCACTCTAGTTTCCCACTTACATCATTACGTGGGATAATCTTATTTATTATTAGAAGTAGATTAGAGACAAGTGCACGTCTGGCCCACTACACATGGCGTGTTTCCCTTCATTATAACTAGGAAGGGGAAGAGCATCATGTTTCCCTGCCACGCGTGCTACTAATACACCGCAAAATCATCAGAATATTATTCCATTAAAACCACAACAAACAATCTGACTACTACCACGCACAACCAACCTTTTGCGTCTCAGGTTGAAGAATAAAAAAGCTGTACTTTGGCTGGTTTTGGATAAATTCGACGGGTGGATATGTGGTTGTAGGTGAATGGGATGATATGTCCATGCTATAGTGTAGTGGGTTTATTGATTGTGAATATAGTATGGTTGCAGGTGTAGTAAAGAGGGTTTAATAGATATGGTATTGACTTTAGATCCTTCCAGTCAGTAGTTGTTGAGGTAAAGTAGTAATCGATTCAAACGGTTCATTTACGATCAGATCAATTATTAGTGTCAGAACATACTCTGTACGTTCGTATGGTCAGCGTGGATTACACCCGTCTGTTCGACATGGCTGTGGGCTCGGTGAATTAGCTGGTTTAATGTGGCGTGTATTTTTCAAATTTTAGACATTTTTCCAGAAATTGTTTTTTTCTTCGGACAAGAAACATGCTAAAAAGAGACACTTCAACCCCACCGACTGGCAGTATAAAGCCCTTCAGGAATGTCCTAGATTTAGTAATCTGCTCTCACAAGTTTCAACCTTCAGGTCAAGCTCGGATAAACGTTCTAAAAATGTTTTTTTTCTCCCACACAGCCATTGCATAAACATCGCGTCTTGGTATGGCTGCCTAGTTATGGCATTACTGCTCCATGTTGGTCAACAATCGATGACTGACAATATTTTGATTTTACCGTATTTTCTTTCAAAATCTAAGTGGTTCGACGAATTTAATCAGAATCACATTCCTGACAATATTGATAATGATTCAAACACTTCTTAGTTACCGTTGCTATGGCCCACAGTCACATGCCGGAACGAATTTAACGGAATATCTCAGATTCACAACTCTTATCTTATGGTTACATTTTGTTAAGGCCTTCAATGAAAATACGACAATCAAATCCTTGTGATCGGACCTCGTAATGCTCTTGWAGACAGAGAGCAAGACTTTAATTGATTCCACATGGAATGCGTTGCTTTGATTGGTTGTTCGTCGTCTGAGCCGGAATCAAGAATCTCTTTAGTTGTCTAGTGACCTTGGTTTTCATACCGAGTCTAATCATGTGAATACGTAGACATGCCATAACATGTAAAGTAAGCTGTAAGTAAGTAGCGTCATAACTCTGTGTAGCCTTCGTTGCAGACGTCCTGCGGGGTTCGGTTCGGATCCTGTGCCCTTCCAGCCAAGGCTACCGAGGTACGGTTGTATGCTATGAAGCTTGTCTTTTCTCACGGAGTACTGCCTCGGATCTGGGTTATCACGATCAGGTACCATCAAAGCATATATACAGATGACAGAGCAGAAAAACTATACAAGGCTGCTACTTTCGTAATTTTTTTCTTTATCTCTCATTCATGCCCAAAAAAAAAAACGTTTGGTGTTTCATTCGTGTCTCTTGTTAAACTTTTCACAAAATTCTGCTACCTCGATCAATCCTTACTTCGAGGTATCAAGCGAAAATGTTAGTTTTTGTGCTGACCAAAATATCATCTCTCCCAACGTTCAGGGCGTTATATCTCAAATACGCATTCCTTAAATTTCCCCAAATTTTAGTATTTTGTTAAGCAGCCCTGTTTATGAAATATAAAGCTTATTAACACATAAACCCTGTCTAAACCCTGTTTCTGCCCTGTCTATACAGATAGGGTAGGGTAGGGTAGGGTAGGGTAGGGTAGATTCGTATCCCTATCAGAATACATTTACCGTCTATTCCTCGGGAGCGCCAACATTTGACATGGTTGACATTTGCCGTTCATAAATTTTGCTTGTAGTTCGAGTTCGGTTGTGCTTTTAGTGTACTAAATCACTTCCGATTTCCGTAAATTGATGGCTTCAAACAGTTAATGATACGGCGGGATGATGGATATAGAGTTACTGACTCTCAGACACATATCGCTTGTGTCAGACCAGTGCTGGTCAAATGATATCAGCCTGCGCCAATAAATGGACAATAAATGGACACGAGTTTTTGTAAAATTACCTTTTTTTTCTATCGATATTTCTTTTTTACAATAAAAGACTTACATCTAAAGATATACTCAGTATTACAGGAATTTCTGTCCTCACAACAACCCTCTAATCTGTCGTTCAGGGTCGCAACTATAGTACAACATGGGTGGAGTGTAGTATGGCCTTATAATCTACCATCACGAACAATCCCTTGGATTATCATCCGATAAGCACAAAAAAACACGAGACAAGCATTTCCCCTTGCTGCCTATCCCAGGCAAGTACTAGGTATGTAAAAACAGACATACCAGGATCAGTACTTGCAATTGATAAATACCTTCCGATGCATGTCTCGACAGAAAGAGTGTAGGTCGTTGCGTGGGCAGCATCGTATTGACTGGGTTATACACAGGTAGCCCAAACAAGGTTTACAAGGGAATGTAAGGAGTTAGGATAAACATAGCCTTTCACTCAACAATTTCCTGTCAAATTTGCTAGTCTTTTTTAACCATAACTTCAGACTCCTGGTAAAGTTAAGGCGCGATTTTAGGAAGTTTTTTTCAAAATCCGCTATACTCCCTATTATATAATTGATATTTTTTTCGCAGCAAATTATTCAGTTATCAAAAATCCCAACTTTACTTTTTCGTTAGCAAACCAGCAACACTAAGAACTAGTTCTTTGAACAACTTAATAAGTTAGCTTTAACATTTATTTAAAATAAGAAAAACGGCCGACTAGTTTTGTAAAAAATTATAATTCCTAAAAAAAATTGTGTGACAGCTAATTGTATAAAAAGTCTCACACTTCCCGATTCTCCATTCCCCCACCAGAACTCTTTCTTTCCCTCTAAATGTTTTTATTATTTTTGAAGTAAGGTAATACGTAATGGCGATCATTAGACTAATAACGGAAAGCTCAGAGCACGAAAAGGGTTCTGGTAGTAGTGAAAGGGTTATCAAGAAGAGGAACAGAGAATTCACCTCGCTATAAAATTCCTTATCGCTTTCATGTCACGGGACGTGGAATACACGACTGATGGAACCGTACAACCCTTGTTAACGGCACACCGGACTGTTCCTGCCCGCAGCATAGTGCATTAGCCATTCCGTGGTTCAGGAAGAAACTGGGTCGAGTTCGCATCACAGTGCATTGTGGTTAAGGGGACGAAATAGACGCCATCTTGGAAATATGTCCCCTAAAACAGTCCCACCATGCACTGCAATACCAACTCGACCCAGTTTCTTCCTCAACCTCGGAACAGCTTATAATCTGACAAACTGAACATAATGCAGTGATGTGATACACGTGTCTCTAAACACTAAGCCTGCATTACAACATACTTTGTTTATGCAATAATTGTTGGCCATTCCGAGTTTCAAAAAATAACTTGGTCGATTTGGCATTTCATTCACTATGGGGCTGTTTTAGGGGAAGAAGGCGCCATTTWAAAAATATGTCCCTCAAAACAATGTCACAGTGCGCTGCAATGTCATCTCGATCCAGTTTTCTCTCGAACTTCGGTATAGCTAATTACAGTTATTCCAGGTGCCCCAAGACATATAAGCAGTGCGTACAAAATACCTTGTACTGATTGGTAAAATATTGATGAATATTCAGTGTGGTTAGATGTCCGAGGTCAGGCGAAAGTTTGGATCTGAATGTGTTCGGTGCATCATGGCCTCTCGTTCGTTTTCTCGTCTCTCATCCTCTACTTTCTGCAGCTGTTGAGGTGACCCTATCAGAAGCCTGTAGAAACGTACATCCAACCACGTGATTTATAAATATATTATGTTATCACTATGTATAACTAGGATCTAACACAGTTTCTATACAGTCAAAGACGCAAATTAAAGAGAGGTCCACAGGCAGCCCAAACAGTATGGAGTGGATATATTGAAGCTAGGCTACGCTTCTATAGCAATGCTCATAGATTTGGGTGAACCGAAATAATTTGTTTCCACATTTTGGATGCTTGGAGTTTTAGAAATTGAGTTTGGGCTGCCTGTGGAGAGCAAAGTGGTAGTAGCCAAGGGCGGGTGTTTACTTAATTTCTTTAATGTTTTAGTTATTTGATAACAAAGATATTTTTATGAAGTTTAGGTCAGCGGTTAAAGGTTTTTAAGTATTCATTTTATAAAAATAATACCTTTAATAAATACGTTATTCAAATTGGTTTAAATTTTAATAGGGAAGTAAATCTTCATGTTCTTAACAGAAGAAAATATATAGTTCAACATTCTATCAAAACTGTTACTAGGTTTATTGGCACTGGTCGACTTGTGTTTATTGTTTAAGGTAGGTAGCTCAAACCGCATTGGATACAAAGCCTTTGGGACTTGATCCTCTCTCTAGTGTCGTTCCCACGAGACGACGAAAACTGCTGCGTACAACATTAGTCTCCAACTTAGCACCAGGGCCCTGTACTATGCGCTTGCGAAGAGATGGAGAGAGACTGGAGACAGGTTATTTGTTTAAACGTTTAGATGTTATTAACATGGTTAAATGACTGACGAAGGTAGAGTTCGGAGTACAATCCGGTTAGTGCTATGGATGTTATATACGCTAACGTATGTAAGCCAAGAAAGTTTATTTGATAGTTTATTTAAAAAAAACTAAATTCAATATTTTAAATGGTTGTTGGTTTATGATCATCAATGTACAAAAACATTACGTGATAATGATGCATGTCTTGGATGGGACCAGGGATGACACGTCGTGGATGGGACCAGGGATGACATGTCTTGGATGTGATCAGGGACGACATGTCTTGGATGGGACCAGGGATGACATGTCTT